TGTACCTGTGTAATTAATGCCACATGTATTTCATTTTTGCTTGCCTTTTTTTAGTAACCTTTAGTAGTTGCTTTCCATTTTATTCTGTTTGTGCATTCTTGACACTGGTATGCAAGAAGGGGAAAACCAAGGAAGTGCCTAGAAAGTGAAGAAAGAGAAAAGGGAAGAAAACATAAAGCAAAAGAAAAACCGGTGCTTGGAAGAGAGGAAGTTAGAATGAGGCCTGAGTGTGGGGTGTAGGTGAGCAAGCTGGAAGAAGCAACCAATCAGTATTAAAAGACTCTTCAGATTATAGACATGTAGAAAATATGATACAGTTGCATCTGTCATGAATGTCCTTGCTTAAACTGCTTTTGTAGTTGTTCCACCAAAAAGATAGTGGAGGAATCATCTGAAAACACCTTATATTGCTGTTAGGCAGAAAGAGTTAATTTCTGCTTCTCATCAACTGATCCTGCTGCTACCCAGAATATGTCAGAAGGGTTAGTTTGGCAATTCCCATCCTCCCACCAGCAAAACCCTGTCCACTGTGGGATTCCAGTACACCTACACAGGCATCATCTCTTGTCAATGTACAGCCGAAGAGGAAAGTTAAGGTGTGTGTATTTTACATGAGCAACTTGGAGCACTGCTTTTCATCAGTATGAGAGCTTGTGCTTGACAGGGGGGAGGAAGGTGGGTAGCTCAGGACATTTGTGTTACAACACCTAGGTGGAGCTGGATACAAATCTGAGAGAGGCAAAAAAAAAAGCCCCAAACCCAAAATCCACACCTCTGTTTATTACATTTAGAGCAGTGTGCTTTCCGCAGAGTTTACTCCTGTAGAAATAAAGGAATACAAATGGCAGGGGAAAAAAAAACAAAACACAACCTTGAAGCAAAAGAAATAGAACTAGTGGATGGTTTAGCATTTGGAATGAATCAGAGCAGCTCTGCTGTCGCTGTGGTAGCTCTCCCCCAACTGTTCACGCCTCCAGGTTGGGTGTTACTTCGTTTATGGTAGACAGAGAATGATGAGCTGTTGCAAGGAAGAAATGGCTTGCTAATAGTGTGGAGAGGTAGAGACAATGTATGTGGCTTTAATGCTATTGATAATTTAGTTCAAGGGATGGAGTGTCTCTTCTAAATGGCACTTTTCAGTCTCTCTACCCTATTCTAAGTGAGATATATGTGCCTTGTGGCCAGAGATGAATTGTGGAGATAGGACCTCTGAATCAATCTCTGCTGTATGGTCTTTCCCCCCACCCCTACTTTTTTTCTTTCCTTTTTTTTTTCCTCTTTTTTTAATTTAAGCCAGGAGTTGATTAGATGCCTGGCAATGATTACTATCCATTGGCACATCCCATTGGGAGCACACTCCAAGTACCAGCCTTCAGCTCTTAACAGGGGAAGTTAAGCAGGCTGCTTACTGAGCAAAAGGAATTTCTCTTCCCATGAGAGCCTGAGTGCTGTTTCCCTGGCTAAGAATGCTATAATTCCTTTACAAGTGACAAGCAGGCTGCTACCATCTGCTGGTGAATGGCTGCAGGACGGTGGAGTTTGCGTGAAAATTTGCTCATGGATTGAAGAGAACAATTAGCGGTCATTAAGCCCAATTCACACATTTCCTGTACGAAGTTCCACGATTTCATTTCGTCTTTAGAATGTTTTCTAATTGTGGTGTGATTTCTGTTTTGTTTTGAAACATAAATGCGTAAGATAAGGGTTCTAACCAAAGCCATAGAAAGTACCAGCAGGATCTGTGCATAGTTTTATCTTTTAAAGCACAACAGTGATGTCTTGCAAAAGCAGACTGAGACCATCCAGACATTTTTTAATCACTTTATTCTGTCTTTCTAGAAACACCTGGGTATATTTGGAAACCATGTGGCATTACTTGGTGATAGTCTCTTTCAAAGATTTAATGGTAGACTCGTGAGTTGGTTTAGAACCATGCAGCTTTGTAGGGTGTCTGCTTTGTTCAGTCACTATACTGTGTCAAGAAGGAAGAACTAGAAAGAAGAGAGTAGTTATTGTGTATGTGGTTCCCCCAGCTTCCCCTGAAAGAAGCAGATGGTCGCGGGTCCCAGGAGGTAGAAGAAATGGGGCCATTAGACTGTCAGTGACTTGTGAAAAGCAGAAGCATCTGCCAGAATGGAGACTTGTTCAGCAGCAGGGGAGCCAGCAGCAGCAGATGATCTCTGCCTTGAGTAGTCAATGGTGTAGTAGTCGCTGGGGAATTGCTGTTGTGGGCGTAGCTGCAGGTAACCTTGGTAATAATCTGGTTGGTCTGGCAAGCTAAAAAAAGGGAAATGAACGCTTGACGCTTAATCTCTGGCATCTTAACTACCCACTTTTACTGTCTAATCAGCCCTAACTACGACCCATTTGAAAGTATTTGGTACCCATTCTCAGCTGAGCCCCATAGGCATATTTGAAATTGTTCAAAATGCCCGTCGTGTTTCTGTTTCAAGTTTCAGAATAGCAAGATGAACCATGCTAGCCTGAGCAAAGAGTAAGTTCAAACACTAAATTAACGTTTGGAAAAGTATCAAAAATTTTGTCGTCTTGTTTTCAGCTGTATCGCACCGAACGCTTTTCTAAAACATGCCTTTTCGGTGTTAAGAAATATTTCACACAGCTGCAGTTTAGTCTCTGCTGCTGTATTTCGTATGCTCATACTGACTTCTCTGCACAGGACACAGTGTTCCTGGGAAGAATAGCCTCTTCTGTTGCTACAGTGTGATGGTACTTCAAAGACCAGATAAAATGGGGAGGACAGAATGCCTCTGAGAAATAAACCTAGAAATTCATATCTGTCTTCAAAAAGAATAGACAATTTGGGTTCTGTCCTGTTGGAATAATTAATCTCAGTCAGCCGCATCTAAAAGAATAAAGTGTATGGGTAAAGAGCTTTGGTTCAGAACTCCTCAAGCTGCACTTTATGAATATTTGGCATAGGTGAATCTAAGACTATTGCCAGTACATAATATTCTTCCAGGGTTGACTTCATAGCCAGGAAGAGATACTTTTCTACACATGAAACTTGGTTTTACTCCCATGAGAAAGAGAATTACATTGCAGTTTGGCTAGGGGTCCAGACATTTTGGTTTACATTAAAATATTGGTTTAGATGGCGTTTTGTATCTTTGGAAACTATCATTCATATTCTGATAGGCAAGAGTAAGCTGCTTGAGTGTCCCTTTCTAGGCCTCAGGGACACTTTCCTTACATCATGAATACTGCAGTAGTTTGTCATGATACACATTCTCTGCTTAGAAGATCGACACAGTTTAAGTAGGGAGCACTGGAGATCAGGGTCTCAATGCTTTGGCATAACCAAAAAGAAAAGGCAGCATTCAAGGCTGCAGTTGTAGGTGTCATGAGAACTGACGTCTCACAAGCTTTCCTGTTAGTTGCATCTGCTTTGATTTGAAGGAGGCCACCTGGTTTATGGCTGGAGCTACTTTTGCTTTCATCCTCATTCAGTCATTTAAATACAAACTGTAGTCATCTCTGCATAGCATAGAAGAGTAGGAAAAGCAGTAACTGTCAGATATTCTCAGTGGTTTTTTAAATAGTGTAATCAAAGCCCTGATTACTGCGCAGAGGGAGGATCTTCGCTGTGGCTCTTATCACGTCTAGCATGATGTGGCCATCTCCCTGTATGGTAAAAGACCATGGTTTGTCCAGTGCCAGGTTCACACTGCTGGTTTGAGCATATTTGTTCTGTGTGCCGTACAGGTGTCACTTGCTGATTGTGTTAATACTGCACACAGAGTTTGGTACTAGCTTTCCCAATAGGAAAAAGAGGGTTTAGATCATATCATCATCTATCTGTGTGCAGTCAGTGACCGAAGGCAATGTCTCTTAGCCTGAATTCAAGGTGAATTGTATCAGCTATACAAGGTCTTATTTGTGTTTTTAGTTGTGTTTATCAGCACAACCAAACTTTCTGTGTGTGACTCTAAAGTTACTGTAGGTCATCTTTTTTTTTTTCCCTCATAATAGTCTATTTGCATTTTAATTTTTAAATAATAGCAGTCTCTTAGCCTTTGGTGCATTCTACCAGATGTGGCTTCTTTGCTTTTTAGAAGAGAAAAATGTCAACCTGTCAGAAATCAGTTTTCATCAGAATCTTAGATTAGCTAATGAAAATCACTTAGTGTATACCTTCAAGAAATAAAATTGCTGTCTAAACGAGATGCACTATAGGCCAACTTCCATAGGTCATTCCTTAAGTCATTCAGGATGAAGTAAATGGGTGAGTGGCTTTCATTCTGCTACATTCACATCTCACTGTTAATACGGTTAAATACATCATTGACCAGTTGAGATAATGGGATTTAAGTAATGAAAATTGAACGTGGACATCAGATGAGTCTTAACTACTTTGACAATAAATGTATGAGCATCTTTGTAGTACTGCAGGCGTTTCTTTTGGAGATGTGCCATTTCTGTGATGATGAGCTATTTTCTCCTTGATGGCATCTTCTCCTGCTCCAGATAAACCTTTTTTAATCACCTCTGAAAAAGTGTTCAACTTAGCCTTGATCTTTTTGGGCTGCTTAGTGATAATGAAAATGATGTAACCAAATTACTTTTACACTAATGGCGTCTCCTAAATCATTCTTTGTCATGCTAATTCTCATTTTAAAGCTGCTGTAGATTCAAAAAAAGCTCTTTTCCAATTTTAACACTGATGTCATTGTCAGGTACTAAAACATGGGCCAGAGAAATAGATTTGAGAAAGTGTTTCGAGTTCTTAATGGTTGGTTTGAAGGTTTGGTATCTCTTGCCTGGTTAGTACACCTGAAAAGTTTTTTGTTTAAAAGAGCTTATATTATTGCCTATACAAAATGCCTTTAGTCATGTGGTGTCGAAAGATACAGTTCTAACATTGTGATACTTGAGAAATTTGTCCTGGGGTGGGGTTAACTAAAATTCCCAGGAAAATACCTGGAAAGATATGTGGAAAGTTGGTTGCAGTCTTCATTGCCATTTCTTGGTTTCCCTTTCAGAAATGTTCCCATTGCCAGGAATCGGGAGCCACCTTAGGCTGCTACATCAAAGGCTGCTCCTTCCGATACCATTACCCATGTGCCATCGATGCAGGTAAGAATAAATGGCATGCCAACTGTATTTCATGTTTATTCAAGACCACAGGACACAAAATAATCTCAGGTACTTTACAATTTTATTCCCTCTCTGTTTTTCACCTGCCATGAAGATTCAGTAATATAAATGGTGAGAAATGGCATCAGTAAATAACACACTGGGACAAGGTGGAACTTGTAATGAAAAAGAATCTACCTGAAAGCGGAGGAAGAAGCCTGGTTTGGGGGAATGTAGTTGCAGTGACTCATATTTGGCTAGAATATGACAACTGACCACTCTTTTCTTGCAAAAATTAGAAACCCTTTGTTAAAAGGGTGCAAGTGACCAGAAAGGTGTCTGCTCTTTCAGGTTTACAGTCCTTTGGATAGTCATAGTAATGATTTCAAGTGCAAAGGGTTTGTAGGATCATCAGTACCACTTGCAGCACAGCCTTCTTTCTCCCTCCTTAGAAGCATTTCAGCCAGTCTCTTCAGTAGGTCCAGTTTTTGTCATTGAACAAGCTAATGGTTTGGATGGTATTCTCCCTAGCCTGGGTTTGTGAGCTGTCGTTTTGTGTACAGTAGTGAAAGTGGTTCAATAGAGATAAACTTTATTCTTGGGTTAAAAAAAAAAACACAAAACCCAGCTTAGAATGAATAATATCCCACTGTTCCAGTCCTCTGTAACTCACTTCTTTCATACAGTACGTAGTTTGATAGCAAGCAGTAAAGATTCAAGATTACAACTCTAGACTGGCAAACAATCACAAGCTTCCTGTTTGTTATCCCAATTCCACAGCAGCCCACTTGTTTCACCAGCTATTTTATGCTGTTTATGCTGTTTTCCAAGTGTTTACAGTATTTGAAGTAGGTATGCTCATTTCTGAATGACTGCATCGCACCTCTCACTTGAAGTCCCACCCTGTTGGAGCACCTTATTTTATTCTAATAGTAATGTTTTTCATTAAATTAGTATTGCAGTGGAGTGCTATTAGTACCACGTAGAGAATGCTTGGTTTTACGTGCAATAAGTTGTTAAATATTATTTGGGTTGCAAAAATCACATGCTCAAAAAAATGCCACAAATAAGGGTGCCCATGTAAGTGTGATTTTGGTCTCTTATGAACATACCTTATAAAACAGTAATTACCTAATCAAAGACTGGCATCTTTTTCCATAAGGCCCTACTTCAGCCTGTGGGATGGAAGAGTACTCATTCATGAACATACATTGTCCTCACTGATTTTGTATTTTACTTGCTGTGTATAAGTCCATCTCAGTTCTGAAAGTAGAACTGAAATTTTCTGTGACACTCATCTATGTCATGCCTAAGAGTTTTATGAACATCAACAACCTTTTTGTTCATACATTTGAGAGACAGAATCGTCATATTTGCATTCATATTGTGTTTAGTAATTTGTTTCTGGTTTGTGACCTACCTGTTATAATACCATGAAAAAAATGGTAGGGAATGTTCCCAATAGTTTGGGGTACTTAATATGAATTCTTGTTACTCGATACAGTATGTTGCATTTTCCATGTTATAAATACAGGTATCAAAATTAAGATACTGTCCTTTTTCTTCAGATAGACCTTCCTCATTAACTCTACTCCACTTCAGCAAATGCAGTAGGATCCTCCAGGTGACAAATATACTGAACAATCATGACTGATTCCCAAGAGCAGTTCTGTCATGCACGGAAGAGGCAGTGTCCTCTGCAAGAAATAGTACATAATCATACTATTTGCATCATATTAAATGTAATATAATATGTCTACCTATAATATGTAGAAGAGGGCTATGTTAATTTGGCTTTTCCTTCCATTTGTCTTGACTTTGCAGCCTTTGAGGTTTTGGTTTTTTTTAGAGTAGCTTTTTGTGTTCAAGTTCCAAGGCTGTGCTTACTTCATTTTCTTGTAATTTTGTTATGAGACATCATGTTGTCATATGGCCATCTGTCAGAGTGCACCATTCCAAGCTAGTTTTCCTCCTTTGAGTAATACGGCAGTAATAAATTGCAAGAGCTGCATGGAGATGGGATACTTGAACTAGGAGATTCGCAAACATACTTAATAGGAAAAGAGTTGGTAAAACTGGTAAATCTCTGGTTTTGCTCCAGGAAGAGTAGGTTTTAATGAGAACAAAAACTTCTCTTTGTTTCTTTTTACATCTTCCTTTTTGTTTCTTCGTCTTCAGTCTGGATGTGTCTGATACTTTCTCCAGTCTGGCTCTTTAAACCAGCCACAAGCTCTTTATCTAGTTGGTCTCAGGTTCCTCTTCTCAAATTCCTTATTCCAGTCTCTTTTGTAAGACACAGTTCTCCCTACTCCGTTCTAACTTTTCCTTTGCCCGGATTTCTAGCTGTCATTCTGGTGTCCTCCTCTCTGCTCTTGCATCACCTACTCCTCTCCTTTCTTGCTTCTAGCTCTTGACTTTTTTTCCTCTCTGGGCTTCTTATTCCTGTTTGGTGTTCCTAACTTAGCCATTTTTCACACTTAACCCTGATACTCCCTGTTTGTTCTTGTATATTGCCCTTGATCTCCTATGATTCACCGTTCTGTGCCTTATCCCACTAGTTCTTAGGCTCCAGTCTTCTGGCTGAATCTTGCTGCACACTCATCCTTAATTCCCTGCTCCTAACTTCTAGTAGCACTGGTCTCCCCATCCTGCTAGCCTCCACTCTTTTTCCAGTTCCAGACTGACTTTCTCACTTCTGCCTGTCTTAGCCTTAGCAATGTCCCCCAACAGCTGCAGTGCTTTAGGGTCGGGTGCCTAAGTCTGAGGCCAGAGGTTCATTTACAGGAAAGACCTGCTTACCCCCAAACAAAAGTATATTTGGAGGAATTTTTGAAGGATCTAACTACTAAAAGCTTAAGAAGCCTCACCTGAAGATGTGCAGATTAAAATCCCCATTGCTCCTTTCAAAGAGTTGGATTTACTGATTTTTGTGGTAAGCTGGCAAGGACATGCCTGAGAATTGAGGTCCTACTGAAAAGCAGGGTATGCTAGAACTTTCTAGAGAAGGTTAATAGGGACAGAATAACTTTTTTTTTTTTCCAAGAAAGAGTCTCAAGAAAATGGTTAGGCTGCTTCAGCTGCAGTTTTCGACCAAAACAGATGAAAGAACCCAGCTTGAAGTAGATTCTCAGCATTCAAAGTTTCAGCCTGATGATACAACAGTAAAAGACCTTGTTTGCAGTTGGGTGTATCTGTGGGTGTAATCAAGCTGTTTTAATCTATAGCCATTCTTTCAATAAATCTGTATAAAAGAAATAAGCTATAGGAATAGGAATAAGCTATAAGGAATAGGAATTGGGTTTTGGCTGTGGCCAAGCAAAAAAATGTAGGCTTTCTTGAGAAGCACATCAGCATTCTTTTCTTTTTCCTTAGTCTGCTGTCTACCTATAAACCCCTGTTACTGGTTATGCAGTGCTGCTGTCTTTCTGTAGTAAATCAGATAAAAATATTTCTCAAGTCCTTTGGGTTCTGTGGTAGTTTCATTTGAAGTTGGCCATCCTGCTTTGGCAGGTGTTGCCGCCTTTCTTCATTGAGGTCCTGAAACAGATCCCTTCTGAGTCCTCAAGTCTGCGTTGACATTTGCAAGGGGGCTTTTGGAATATGTATGACTGGTCTTGTATCTTTAAAAAAATACCAGAAAACACTTGCAGGAGGGTTTTTTAGGGTACATCAAGTCATAAACACCTGGTGTTTGTAACATCTCTGGAAGTGACCGTGCCTCAGCTGGATGAAGTATGCGTATTGTGCTGCTAGGCAGTTGCGTTGTGAGCTGAAGTGTCTTTTTACCTCTGCACTGGTGTGAGTTAGAAGTTAGTACCCTATCAGTTACTGTGCCTCGTTGGAAAGGCACTACATTTTCAATCAGGGTCTGGAGGGTGAAATATCTGGAAAGGGCTTCAGTTACTTGCAGCACAGAAGGCTGGCCCTGCGATGTGCCCTGAGCTCTGGCTTCTGTGCCGATCCTTGGTTTCCAGTCACACCCTGGTGAGAAGCCAGGTTTTGCACCGCTGCTGCTAATTGCCTGCTATGCAAGGCACATGGCTTCATAAGCTGCCAGTTTGTACATATGGATGTTTTTATATAGCCTAATTCAGCCTTCCTTTTAATCTCCTTTCATAGAAAGTAGTCTTTGGCAATATAGGGTGCAAGGGAGCTGAACTCCTCATATCCATTTGCATAAAAATCAAGATCAATAGTGCCACTTAAGTAATCTTTATATGGAAATGACTGCGGTTAACATTGTCTGTGTTTGGCTTCGTCTGTCCAAATTTATGAAGAGCCTCTGATGTCTCAAGATAACTTAGTCCTAGGGATGTCTCCATGGAAACAGGATCTTTGTTTTCTGAAATTTTATATCTTCTCCCTCTGCTTGTTCTTCCCCACCTGGAGCCAGATCCTGATTGCTGCAGCACACTTGTCTCCACAACATGGATCGGAGGCAGTTTCACATACAAAAGATTTTTGACTGTAAATTAGGAAAAGACTAGCAGAAAATAGAATGAATTTTCAGAGAACAGAAATCCTACATCTTCCCAAGTATTGTTAAAGATGAGTAGCAGGCAGAACACAGGGTGAGACAAAGTGTAAAGCTTACAGAAGAATAATTGCTTCTATTAGAAATGTTTTAGCTCTTCCCTGACTACTTTATGGAGAAAAATATGTACAAACAAGGACAAGTCTCGGTTCTTTCTCCCTTTCTGCCACAATGAGCTGATCATAGCTGTGTGTCTTGTGACTTCATGATGAATTGTAATCTGTGATATAAAGTACTTGGAACCGCTAACTGAAATGCAGGCCAGCTTTGTAATGATGAACAATTTTTGCCTTATTGGTATTCAGCTGATTTTCTACAGTGAGCTGATGAAATTTTCCATAGTTGTCCCTTAATAGAAACAAAAAGGTTGCTATTAATTGGATCTGGTATTTCTATCTGCAACAAAAATGACAACCTCAGTAAGAAATAAGAGCTCCATAGTGCAGACCAAGCATGAGGTATGAGATTTCTGACAGTTCTCCCTGATCTTGGTACAGTCTTCCTTTCTGATGTACTAACTGGAGAAGTGCATTCATTACCAATGATGGGGTTCCAAGAAAGAAGAAAACTCCATCCTGTTCTAACATACTGTGTGTTTTTGATGATTGCTCTGTATATTTTCGATGATTGCTGTATTATGCAGTGATAATTCATGCTGCAGTCTAAATGTACAATTCCTGCCCTTATAATGAGGCAACATTTTATTTATTCCCTGTTGTTTGCTAATGCTACATTTGAAATTGTTATCTGTGGCAGGATTAAGGGTTTTACTCCCCTTTGCTAAAATCTCTCAAGTATCTTAGCCCACTGCATGCTGTTTCCCTTTGATTCAGGCCAGAGGCATTCATGTTGAAACATAAGCATTTCATAGCAGAGGGATGCTCTGCCAAAGCTTGGGTGTCTAGAAAGCTTTTCCCTCAAGCTTTAGTTGTAGTCTCCTGCTGTCTGTTAAACTCTTCCAGCAGATTGAAACAGCAGGTAGCACTGGTTATGCTGCATACTTAAGAGCTTTTTAAATTAGCACATTTTATTTACCATTGTGCTTCTTCACTTGCTAGCTATTTGGGTAGGTTGGAGGAGGCGGGAGGTCACAGCCACTTTGCTGAATTCTCAGTGGTGTTGGTTGTGCTGAGGAGGTGATAGTGCTCCGTCCTACTGATGCACTGATAGTGTTTGGCCAGCTTGCCTTTGGTACATGGGTACAGTTGGAAAGAACAGTGTCAGAACCTTGGGCTGGTTGAGAGGTGTTCCACATGTCCAGAGGAGGGAGCTGGATTCTCTCCAGAGAATGCTGCTTTTTCACTTAGCTGTGAGGCTGAATACAGGGTGTCTGAAGACACAAATGGAAGGCAGAGAACTGGCCTGCGGTGCTCCTGGTGTGGGCATAGCACTGAGGTTTCAGGAGCCACCTACTTGACATCCGCTTGAGGCATCGTCTGGGAGGGAGAAGCAGCACTTTACAATGGCAGTGCCACTAAAGAAATGCTCTTCAAATGATAGTATTGCTTAATTTGTTCCTAAATAAGCAATTCTATGTAGGCACCCTGCTGTCCCTAATAGGTTTAAATAATTAATTAAACTACTACTTAGATCATAGAAACTTCATATATACAAGTCACGGAAGCAGATCCAAGAGCAGTATGAGTGACCTGACTACTAGACTAGTATCAAAGTGGAAACTGATCACCAGGATTTGGGATTGCAAATAAACTGCCATAAACACTCATACCTAGAGACATACGCCCCTTCTCCCCTTGATGTTTGCAGGGCTGTGGCATAAGCATGAAAGGCAACAATTTGCCTATGGAGTATAGAGCAGGGATTATCTGTTCAGAGTGGATAAACATCTTGTGCTGCGGCAAGGAAGGCTGGAATAGGTGAAAGGGGTTGGGATACAGGATTTGTAGACTTGCTGTTGTGATTCTGACTCTGTACAGAGTATCGGGGAGACTGGGGATGCTTGAACTTGTCTTGGTAATCCACGCAACATTGTCACTTGGCGTGTTTAGTAATTTTATCTGCTAACACTTCGGGGGTAGAAGGGATGAACCTGCTAATAAGACAGTATTCCTTCAAGAGATCTTGGGACGAAAAATACATACCTATGAGGCAAGATTAATGTGATGTATTATTCAAGTTGCGTTTTATTAAAAAACTAATAAATTGCTTTCTTCTCCTTTAGATTGTTTACTAAACGAAGAGAATTTCTCAGTGAGGTGCCCCAAGCACAAGGTAAGAATCCTCTTAGGATTCAAACCATTAGGTCTGTTTTTTTACTGCCCTCTTCTGGTGTCTAAACTTGGATTAGTAATTTTATACCTGGATACATCTGTAGTCACAGGTGCTGTTAGATCTCTTCTTCTGTGATGTGTGCTTGTAGTGTATTCTGGGGGCAAACATCAATTTGAGAAGAATACAGAGAGTTTAAGAAGATAAGTTTTTGCCTTATCTGTTCAGTTGTTCTTTAGATCATTAATGACTCTTTAGAAAACCTGGCTTCATTTCCTGTCTTCTGTGAGAGAATCAGTATATTGCTCACTGTTTCTCTTTGAGTGCTACATGGAAACTGGTGGTAGTTTTTCTCCTTGGATTTATGGGTGCAAGGAGGAATTAAAATGGTTCATGGAAAAGTTCTAACCGGCTTCTAGAAACACGTAGACTACATCATGAACCAGTATAGTGATGAACCTGAAGCACCTCATTCTAGTCTGTTGGTAGTAACTAGACTTACCACTCAGCCTTCAACATAGCTGTTTAGTTGTTCTGTAGATCTTCGACTCTTCAGAAGACCCATCCTCGTTTTCAGCATGATGCTTCTGCCTAGGGTTTAGCCGTGCTTTACTGAGTGTTCCTGAAGCCTGCCAGCACAATGGTGCTAAGAGCTGGACTGCTGTTACTCTGTCCATATGGGAAGAGGAAACAAGGCAGACAGTACATAACTCTCTTGTGCATATAAGCAATGTGATACAGTGCTAGGAATATGCCTCCCAGCCCATAAGGGAGGATATATCTCTGAGAGGCTGTGGATAGCTTAAAACTCTCCATCAGTTTTAAATGTTCAGAGTATGGAGAAAATGGCTGTTTTTTGTGACCAGTTGCTTACAGCAGGAATTGTGCAAGAGTGTGGAGGGCTTATGCTAGAAAGTAAGCGATAATAGGGAAGAATAGTGTTTCTTTCTAGCAGGGATTAGTCTCGTTAGGTCTTTTCTGCAGATCTCTTCTCTGCCTAGAATTAGACTGACATCTGGTGGTTTTTTGTCTTCACAGATTATCTTTAATCTGTCTTTTGTGAACATATAAGAATTAGTCTCATGTTCCTTTCTGAATGTTCTACCACAGTATGATGTATTTATACCCACGTATTTAAATGTGCTGGAAGATTCTGGGGGCATTCAGGCTGTTATCCAGAGCTGGCCTACTTTTCATCATGTACAGCATAATTTATTTCCTTTTACAATTGAGGAATAATGTTAAAAATATGCAGCAGGCTTAAATTGATGCATTAATGCTACATGAACCTGCAGATCTTGCCAAGGAAAAATGGGAAGGGTGAGCTCCCCTTACCGTGGAATGCAACTACCTAAGTGTGCAAATTTGGATACTTGACTAAAGAGAGTAGGAAGGTTATGCCTTTGAAGGCTGTTTTATTTTTGCTGCCTATTGCCTGAAGTGTTGCAGGGAAACGTAGTGTTAAGCTTTTCATAGCTAGCTTGGGTCAGTGCTGCTGTATATGTCCTTACAGCTATGGTGCTTGAACCTCGGAAGGAAACGACAGACTCCAGCCTCCCGAAGAAGATACTGAGCAGGCACATCGATTTCCAAAGTAATCTTGGGAGCGGGAGGGGGAAAACTGCCAATTAAATTGATAAAAGTACTTCATGAGGCAATAAAATTTTGAACTTCATTCAAAACTGTCCCACTGCAGATCATTTTCTGTGTTGCGTCGCAATGGAATTCAACACCAGCAGCCTTTCTTTGACACTGAAGTTTGTTGGCTTTTGCTCAGTAAAGACTCCTTTATTTGAAGTCAAGCAGATTTTTCTTTGCCTTGGCTGTGACTCTGCCCTTGTCCTGCAGTTCACTGATCATTGCTGGTTTGTTCCAGATCCTTCTGCAGGGCAGAGTGTAGGGTCACCCCGCTCCTCCCATCATAGTGGCTGGAAAGAGGAGTTCCAGCCAGTTGCAAGGCAGTAACAGGAGGGTTGAAAGCTATTGCTCTAGAATGACTGGAGAAGAAATTGCATCGGGTTTTTGCATGGTATAAGCAATTGAGAGGAAGAAAGACTAGACCATTTAAACTCATGCTTTTAGGTAATGCCAGTTAAACATTAGTAGCTAATTAGTAGCTGTGTCATACCTCATTCTTCTCTAGTTAATGGGTGGAAGAACTAACTTCATAAATACAACATAATAAGTAAGTCCCCTGGTATAGTGCCTCTTACCCTTTTTCAGTCCATGCCTCACATCAGTAAACACACCTCATCATAATAAGTGGCTCCTGGAGAGCAAAGGTGCTTCTTGCCTCATTAACTGCGCTTGACACTTCAGGCATAAGTAAGCTAAGTCCAGAGGGACTGGTCCTGCCTTTCCCCATACTCCCCAGTGAGCTTTCCCATTTCCTTCTGTCAGCATTGATGCTTCAACCATCCATGTCCTGAATGTGCTACTTTTGCAAAATAGCAGCTTTTATCACAGGGAAAACGCTGTCTGAAAACTAATCATCTTTTGAAGGGTTAGCTTCCTCTCACAAATCCAACTAGCTGTGTGTCTGCACCGCATCAAGTGCTGGTGCAACAGAACTGATAAGGAAGCCAAGGCACTGAATAGGATATAAAGGGGATGGGGTACCTCACCTTTCGGGGGCACTGCAGTCTTAGATTGTTTTAAACCATCTGTGGGGCAATTTTAAGTGATGTTTCTCAGCTTGTTCTACCTTTTTGTGTTAAATTCTGTGTTTCTTAAAATTAACCAAGCTTTCTTATCCCAAACTCTTTACTTTTTCAGAATTGCCTGCTTTTGTCACAGGGAAAACTCTGTCTGAAAAATCTGTCTGGCTCCAATACTGACTTCTCTTTCTCTCTCTCACTCTCTATATGTTCACTTTCCCTCCCCCTGTCTTCCTTTTCTCCCTCATTTTCTTTTTCCTCCTCCTTTTGGCTTGCTGGTTCGTCAGCCCCTCCTTCCTTGCTCTCTTCCCTCCTTGCAGAACAAGATGGTGAAAGGCAGCCTCAGCACAGAGCAGTCGGAGCGGGGGTGAGGGGGGAAGTATACTCCTGGGAATGGAAATAAAAGCAAGCACAGGTGAGTTGGGGAGAGTTTCCAGTTTCCACCTGCCTTCTTCTGTGGCTCCTTACCTCCAATACCTTCCCCATATATATATAAGAAATCAAGGTGCTTTTGTGTACATTCAGAAAACTTGCAATAACTGTTTTTTGTTTGGTTGGGTTTTTTTCCTGCTACCATTCTGTTCAGGCTAGTGACTGCACTTGTTTGTATTTGCACAGTAATTCCTTCTGTTTAGAAGTGAAAGGCAAATCTTATTAGCTGTTACAACTGCCTGATTACTCTCTCAGCTAAACCATTGGCAGAAATCTCTTTTCATATTGCCACGATCATGTCCATAAGGATCTGAAGGGTTTTTTACTGTAAGTCTCAGAGTAGTTAATAGTAAGCTTTCGTATAAATAAATTCATGAAAGTATCTTAAATTTTGCATGTGAGAATACTGATGAGTTCAAGATTATTGTAATCTCCAATCCCCTGTCTTCTGGCAATGTAAATACGGGGATAAGTACATTAATCTTGTCAGGAGCCCATTACGTTCCTTTTGGACTGTCATTTTCCCGTGTTTCGCAAACAGACATGGGTGGTAGAAGGTGGAACTGTATCCACAATTGGCCCCAGTTTTCTATGTTTGTACCCTTTACTCTGGTCCTTCATCCTCCTTCGTTGTGGATCCAGCGTGGGCTTGTGTGTGCTCTAAGTCGGCACCACTGTGGAAAGCAGCTGTTGTGCTCTCACGCCCCAGCTCCCCCACTGCCCTTCTTTCCTGCCTTCTGCTTTGTGACAGCATTCATACAGCCCATGTATGAACTGTATGGTGGGGAATTCAGTTTGTCTGAAACTGCATTTAGTCATGTTAGCAACTGAGCTGGGTTACTTCCCTAATCTGGTTCACTGTGTGGCTGGGCAAATATCCTGGCACAAGGAGGGAGCAGCACAGAGGTGGGAGTTGGCACCTAGGGAATGGGATGAGGTTGGGATTTCTTATTTCATTTCCACCAAGTGTCATTGCCATTTGATGGCAATGGGGAGGTCTAGATGAGGTAAGTGTTTGGTTTCAGATAAACTCTTGCTGGCACCCTTTCCCATAAACTGCAGCCCAAGAAGGTCTCTTGCCTTCATTTCACTGCTGTTACATTTCTCACTCAAGCTAGTTGCTTCTCTCTCTTGCAGTCATGCAGGTGAAGGTGCTGTTTCATGTCTGTTCTCTGAGCTGATTATAACAGTTCCATACCCTCACTGCCATTCCCTTGCTTCCCAGGCACCTCCCTTACCGTAAGATCTTACCTGTTTCCCAAGTTAAGTAATTGTGAAGTGCTTTTAACGGTGTTTTCTGTGAAGGATGAGAGATTAATCAGAGAATTCTGTGTTTTTTTTAGTGCAGTAGCAGAAGACAGTATGTCATATAAACACTTTGTAGACTGACAGCTGACTTGGTTTAGCTCTGCTGTGTTCTGTGATTTTTCATTTTTAGCAGCAGTCTTCCTTGGCTTTGGAGTGTTGTTAGAACAGTTGCCATGCACACAGTGTTTTGTGCTCATTATTTGAGTAACTTTTTCTTTCCATGGTAAAGGTCATTGGGATTCTTTTAATCTTTTGCCTTTTCCTCGAAGTGTAAAAGGCAATGTAATTCGTAATGGTACAACAGGATGATAGTCTCACGGACAAGGTGTCTGTTGCAACTGTTTAACACTAGAGAAGTTTTCTCGATGATTTTTGGGGCCATTTCTTTGAGGCGCTGGTGAACATTACTGTGTCCCAGAGACCTTTACACAGCTTTGTTTCCTGCGTTATTTTCCAGTGCTAACTCTTTTTTTAATGTATCATAGGAACGTTTTGGCTTAAGACCTTGCAGACTGCGGAATCTCTGCACCATATTATTCACTGTGTGCTCTAGAATTTTCCCTAAGGCATCACTTTTGCTTCAATTAGTTTTTATCTGAGGATCTTATTTAGGCTCCCCTTTTTGATGCTGTATGTGCCTTAAAATATAATTTCTCCAACCTGGCCTTGCATCCCAAAATAAAACCCATGTAAATCTAAAAAATTCACTTGTTAAAGAACTGAATAAATTGTTGCATTGCTGTGGTAAGAAGTTTAGGGGAATCCTGTAGCAGTCCTGGTAGTGCAGGAGCTGCCTTTCTGCTGGCCTTAGTGTAAGATAGAATGGGCACTCAGCTGTTAGGTTATTGGGTTGGTTTATTCCTGGTTCACGCCTAGGCCCAGCAAGTTAAGAAAATCCCGCATGTTGGATAACATCCAGGCAAGTCAGTGTACTCTATCTCTGTTGCTTCTCTCTCCCTGAGCCAGTTGCCTCTAGAGCATTTGGATCAGATCCAGATCTGAGGAGTGACTGTGTGAGTGAGTCTGGTGCTCTGGATCTTGTCCAGGAACGGGGAAGGACTCTCTGTGTGTGTTGAGCCTGTTTCCTCCCTGAGCCAGTGCCTAATGCTCTGGACCAGTTCCAGGCATGGGCAAGCTGCAGTTGTACAGGAGCCAGACAGAGCAACATAGCCTTGACACTCCTTCAGCGAGGGCTCACAGTTGCACAGTAATGAATACCACAAAGGTCAGCTGCCTGAGCTCTCTAGGAACCTCCCTCTCCTCTTTAGCTGTAGCTCCATGGCTTACCCGTCATACTTTCTTGCCTGACTCTTTGCTCTTAGCCCGGCACCCCTACATGAAGAGTTATTTGCAGCCAAGAGTTAGGCTTGCTGGGATGTAATCTAATTGGTGTGCTGATAATCGGAACAGCATTGACTTCTGTATCACACTTAGTTAGGGTTCTGGGAGTTTAATTGCCAGCTATGAATGAACATGGGTGTTACTTGGTTCCCAGGCACACCTCTAATGCTGTTAACCGCTTTCCATATGCGTTGCTTATGTTGAGAGCTTTCTTCCTTTTCCCAAGCTCACTAGCTGGTGAGGAGGGATTTATCTAAGTTATATCAAAGTAAGTAACCTTACTAAATAAACAAATTGCTTCTGGGCTTACTTGTGCTGTGGGAGAAGGGATGAAAGGAATGTATTGTTTCAAGCTTTGCTCTCTCGGCTGTGCAGATTTAGGAGGAACAACGGTATCTTACAGAAACGAAATTTAACTTGGTCTGCAGTTTCTCTTTTGAACAGAGCCTCCAACAACTTAGCAAACTCCTGAAGTTCATTTTCTCACCTCTGAGAATTTCTGGCCAGGAGAATGAGCATGCTAAACACTTGGACCACTCCCACATTTGTCTTGAAAGACATCACAAGCTTAGTCCTTCCCGGAGCTGCCAACACCACTGTAATCTGGCAATTAGAGCAAACACCCCCAACATTAAAATAACAAAAACTGAACAATGTTACCAGCCCTACAATTAGTTTAACTGCAGCTTTGCCTTTAGCTTGTGAAATCCAGGCATTTCCCAGATTAGGTTCCTGCAGCTGGACTTGCATAATTTTGATACTGATTTAACTATCTGCTGCATGTTCACTGAAAACTAGTGTCAGATGGTAGCTTGGTGATCTGCATTAAAACAGTTGGGTCCAGTCCCTAAGGAGTGGCATCCCAGAAGCTGTCACTGCATTTGGACACGTGTTTCCAGTTTTCATAGTCAAGATGAGGAGGAAACGTGAATGAGGTAACCGAGCTCCTTTCTGGCTGCCAGAGGTAGCTGTTCCATAAGAGTGCTGTGCCTTTGTAATGGCACAGATCGTCCTGGGCCTCCTCCAAAACTGGGCTTACTTAGTTTCCTGCTGGTTGCTAAACTGAGTTTTATCTTTTCTTTTTATCACGTGGATTTGCTTTTGCAAACTGCACACCATGGCGCTTACACCCGTTTTCAGCCCACAAAACTAAAGAGCTCTTGGTGTTACTGCAGTGGTAGGCAGCTGAGTGAGTTTTTCCAAAGCTGGGGAGGGGGGTGTTGGCAACCAGAGGGAAGGATCCATTCCAATATTACTGTTTCACTTTGTTTTTCAGGTTAGGCTGTTGAGATAAAAAGCGGTGGACATTCGTGACTGAATGGAATCTCTCCCACTGTGCAGCCATGCCCCCTCTCGACGTGCCTGCCAATGCCAGCACTTCCTTCATAAATTCTTACATCACACTCAAGACTGAGGACATCACAGAATCTGACCAAGGAGTCTGAACCAGCTGTTTCCATGGACACAATCTCCATAGTGACAGTGGGAAGGGGAGGGGGAAAAAGGAAACAGGTGGGGGGAATTAAAGAGGGAGGGATAAATATATATATATATATATATATATAAAGATCTATTTTTTAGTCTTGAAAGACTTTGTTTTAAATGAAAGGTGCGCTATATCCCTTTTGATGCTTTTGATTAAAATTACCAAAACCCCATATAAATTAAAAAAAGAAAACTGTAGCTAAAGTAAATATTAAGTCCAAAATCAAAGCAAGGCTTATGGAGCCTAACATTTTGTGGGAAAGAAGAGCAGAACTGGGAATACTCCAAATAGGACTTGTCTCCCTTCCTCTTGCTTGCTTTCTCACAACATCCAAGGCAGTTCGATTTTAAAAGGCAGATAAAAGCATGAAAAATTGTAGGGTCTGGGAAGAAGGCTTGGATGGTTGCAGGTGATGGGGTGTCAGTACTTGTATGTGCAGGGTAGGGAGGTTATCGTTTTTGAGAAACACTGTTAAAACATCTGAACACTCTTGAATCATGAGACTCATGAAGTAAGAGATGGCTGCTGCTTGCTAGATCCCGCACATCTTGTTTGTGTGGGAATGTCTGTACCATGCAGTTGGAAGGGCTGTCCGCCCTTTGTGGTGGCAACATGCACTCCCAAATCATTGCAAGGCACTGCCTTCGGTCTTGAAGGCAGGTGAAAGGAAGATACAGTTTACCTGCCAGATGGGGGAGCTGGAAAGGAAGTCTGAATGTTCTTGGAGTCAGTGTGTCTTCAAACTGATCAGAAAATCCACTTGGCCCTTTTATTAATTTATGTTTTGCTTTTCCTGAGGAAGGAAGAGGGAATGTCAGTGTAACAGCCTACATGGTGTGGGTATTTGGGGTGGTTTTGTTTTGGTTTTGGTTTGGTTTGTTTTTTTTTTTTTTGTAAATTATGTAATTTTAAAACATTTGGGTTTGTAAGGAACTACAACAAAATCCTATTTTTTTTTTTCTTGTTAAGGCCTTAAGAAAGGGTTTAGTGCATCTTTCAGGGGTCACTCTGCCATGGGAATAAAATAGCTGTTTCACAAACAGTTTTATATAAAAAAAGCTTAAAAAAAACCAAAAAAACTAATAAACTTCATTTTAATCTTGTCTCCTTTTATTTTGCGCGAACTTGATTTGTTTCAAAGGACAGAGAGACAGTAGTATCTGCTGCTTTTTGGTTTCTTTGCCTTCATCGGTTCTGCCTTCAGTGATGACCTTCTGAACTGGCCTAGCAAGAGGAAGACCACAAAAGCTTTTAAAAACTAAAGCTTAGGAATTGTTTGATGTTCAGAGATTAAGAGCCAATGACTGGATGACTTTTGTTCATGTGAAATTGGTGGTATTTCACCAAGTTACTGCCTTCTTTCACTTGTAGGATGGCAGCATATCCTAGCGATATCAAACAGCGTGGTGTTTACTGGGAAGCCACTAGAGAGAGGGATCTAACCAGCATGACTTGGATAAAAGAATGGGGTCGATATTGCGGGGGGAGAAGAACTATTTTAAAAAGTTATGTACTGGATGCTTGCTCAGCTGCTCCCATTTTGGAGTATTCAGCACATAAGAAATAAAATCTATGATAGCTCATATTAAGATATCTATTTTAACTCTATTTTTAAAGATCAGTTTAAAGATTTGGGAGATAATTTGGCATTTATTTATTTCTGGAAGTTGCTACTCTCACTGATAAGTATTTGGAAAGGAAAGGGCAGCCTTCTGCTTACTGCTTTCCCGGTAGCAGCTACTTGAGTTAATACGTCCTTCTACATTAAGAAATAGACCTGTTGTGATAAATGTCACTAATGTGTCCTGAATTGGTGCTGAAAATATTTAACTGCTGGTGTAGTCAGAAAAATACTCATTTTTAGCATAGTTCATGTGATTGAGTAAATGACTTCTTTTCAACTGAATAAAAATTGGTTCTTTTTTTTTTTTTTTTTTTTTGCTAGTGTCTGTTCTGTTCTACCTGTTCTGGAAAAAAAAAGAGTCACTGTAATCACACTGATTTATGTTGGTGAAGAATCCACATTGTGGCACTACCACAGCAGAGTGGTGTGGTGGTGACACTGCTCAGTTTGTTCCTTTTGGCTCTTCAGGGTGGTGTCACACGGTTGAGGAAGGGTTTTGGGTAGCTGGGAGGGAGTCTTGGAGGAGCCTTGTCAGTGCTCATGGCATTTGTTCTGTTGTGGCGGTCTGTGAAACACCACACTTGGCTCCATGCGAAGTACTTCTCAGTGGGGCATGCTTAAAGGTTCAAATCAGCTGCTGCTTAGCCCCTCACCAGCGCTCTTGTCAGAGGTGAGGGGTGTTGCGAGTTGGTCATCTTTGTCGGTCGAGTCTTCACAGAAACCATGGTTCTCTGAAACCAAGGCAGGAGGAATCTAAAACTCTGTGTAATGGCGTTTTAGGAGAACCTGGAAATGATCCAGAACACTCATCAAATCCAGTTGGAAAGAAAAATTTCTTTTGGCTCAGAAGATACAAAGTGCCTGAGTGGATCCTGAAAGCCCTTGTACAAAATACTTGCCAGCTCCATCCTGCAAAGGCAATTAACAGCTTGATATTATGGATACCTCAAACTTGAAAGGTTTGGAAATCTTGGCTAATTTAGTCTGTGGAGCAGAAATCACCTGCGGCAGAACATTAAAACATGGATATTGTGTAAAGAAGAAAACGTGTGGCCTGCCAGCCACTTGGGAATTACCTGTTTGGATGAGGAATGAACTAATGAGACTTTGGATAAGGGAGCTTATTTTTCAAATTTTTCTCCACACTGTCTGACTCCCATCAGGATTTCTGAGAGGAAAAAGAATTGCACTGGTTTGCTGGCGAATGTGTGTGATGGTTTAATGGTGTTTCTGAAGTGCATGATTGCCGTTTTAAAAGGAAGCTGCACAACTAACCTGACTGAGCCAACGCTGCTGAACAAGGTCAAAGAAAAAAAAACCACATGTTTTTCCATAATGGATATGCAATGGATTCAACTTGCAAAGGATGTCTTATGAGCTCATCAGTGTTCGACTGGAGACAAGATGAGGGAACTGCTCCCACAGGAACTGACGGAGGCCCTGGGATGTCTACAGCAAGCATATCTTGATTCCAGGAGCTGCTGATTAATAACACTGATCATGGATTTTAACTGCATGTGAAATCTGCCCTTGGAAAGCCAAGGCCTAGATTACTGTGGAGTTTACAGTGAGTAAAATTGCGCAGCACAGGAGAAAACAGGCTCAGCTGTCACTGCACAAGGTGGTGGCCATCCTCCCTAACTTGTATGTCACCTAGGTATGAGTGGGGTTTTACCTGGGGTTGTGATGTTCTTGAATCTTCCGAATCAGTCTTAGACCAAAGCAAACTGATGGTCCATAATGGTGTTGAAATAAAAGACTTCTAAGTGGTTCATGGCAAAGCATCTGCCACGGAATGTTGTGCATCTAGTTCAGGGAGTCCAGCTAGTGCCAAGCTAAAGAAAAACATTTTTGGTGGGACATGCATTTTTTAAAGTAGTTTGTCAAGATACAGGCAACTAAATGACAGCTCTGGAATTCTGGCTGTTCAATGTGCAGTATAAACTATAATGTACATAAGAACATATGCAAGGAAAAATAATACGTTTAAACTGTGACATTTACAGGGAGAACATTTTGGGGCTCAGATACAAACTTTCTAAGTCATCATGCCTAATAACAGTGTTACTACATCAGGAATTAACTCTGTCATCTTTAATGTGGTGGTTGTCCTGTACATGGTAAAAATAGTTGATAGAGGGACACAAAATTGCTTTGTCTGACCTAGTCCCTGGCTTATTGGAATGACCAGGAGAAGCAGTCCTCTGTCTAGAAATGTAGAAAATTAAGTTCAAGTATCAGACCTTTGGAACAGGATATCCAGATGGTTGAGGATGAATAAATCCTCATTGGTCTGAATTTCCTTTTAGTGGTTAAAAGCTGTGGAAAACCAGAAAGAGTTCAGGTCATCCAGGGACAGTTACAGACGTAGAATATGCAAAGATATGGCAAATATTTTGTGGCCCTTATGACTTCCATGTGAGAATTTAGAGGTGTAGTTACAGTCAGAGTTTTGGGTTAGAAATCCTCTTGTGAAACGGGGTAAGATTCTCATTTGGCTGTGGAATGTTTCTAACAAACAGGTTTGGGGTTTTTTGTTGGTTTAGTTAGGGTTTTGGGGCTTTTTTTATGTAGAGCTACTGCAGTATATTGTGAGTCAGACAATTCAGTCAATAAAAGTAGAGGCATAAGTAGTTACTAGAACATTGTGGGAGACCAGTAACTCCGGTACTTTCTTTATGGCACTGCTGCATGCCAGAGAGAGTCCGGCTAATGCATATGACTGAAAAATCACCTCCATGCGGATACCCTGCACCCTACTTAGCTCCCAAAGTGGCCTGCACTATTCAGCTGGAAATTATTTATTATTTATAAATTATAATTTTATCTATAAGTATTTATAAGTATTTTTATTTATTATTTAAAGAAAGAATGAGGTTTTCTTTACGGTGTAAAGGTCAATGAAATAGTTGCTGTTGTTATCTCTATACGTGAGTGTTTTAAGTTTTGACTCTGCCTGTACTTCTGGTCAGATGCAGAAAGGTCGCTTTCTGAAAAGTGAACAGGGTGCTGCTTACAGAGTCTTTTTGTAGGGTTTAATTTCTTGAGTGTCCTAGTCAGTACCTCTACAGGAGGGAGCCTGAATTAGGGAGAAAGCACTGCTTGTTTGCTGGCTCCTTTCATGGGGCTATATTGAGAGCTTCCCTTTCCTCCTTGTCCTCTACAATTATAACCTGTTGCTTCACTCAGTTTTAATGCTATGGTTTCCGGTTCTCAGCCTTACCTGGGTAGCTTTAGAGAAATGCTGGTAATTCTTATCAGCCATAGAGAGAGTTATCTCCCATATGAATAATTTGGAAAAGAAATATACTCTTCTAGCTCATAGCAAACCTTCTGTGCAGGAGGTTTGGAGGTCAGTGACCCTGACTGAGCTATATCATGCCATTGGTTTTTTGGGTTTTGCTGAAATTGGTTCTTTTCAGTACCACATCTTTCAGTGAGAGTCCTGTGAGCTGAAGCCACTCGTAGCAGAGGAGTGTCACCACATCTAAGGATTGTATTATAAAGGGAAAAGTCTGGACATTTTATAGCATTTGTATTAGGAAAACGTGAATTCCACCCGGGTTCCTGCACCTGAGCTGTGTTTCCCTCTCAGAACAAAGGTGAATCATGGAATTCTTACACGTTGTAAATTATTTTGAGGACATTATTTTGGGGATGTTGGAATGATACTTGGATGTTGAATAGGTACTTGACCTAGATTATGGGGCATAACGATATCTACTTCTCATGCACTTTTTCATCAGCTGGTGTTGAAGTACTTTATGAGTAAGACAAATCCCACTTGTAGTTGTTCCCCTTTGTAGTTGTAAGAAATTACAGACAAATACAAATTATTGTTCAGTGTTGCATGATGAAAATGAGATTAGGAATTGGCAGGTGGAAATGGATCTCAAAGAGGCAAGAAAGGACCATGTGTATCAGCAGAACAAAGACCGTGATTTAACCCTTCTGGGGCTTGTATCTACTGTTTTGGAAACAAAGATGAGGAGGTTACAGTGTATAAATGGATGTTGCAGTCTGTCTGTTCAGCTGGTGTCCTGTCTGTTCCTGATGTGGCTAAAACACCTGAGGAGGAATTGCTGCTGCCTGTACAGGTGATAGATGGCAAAGCTATAAGTGACCATTTGGGAATGAAACCAGAGAGCTGCACTCTGCAAGAAAATGAGCAAAGCTTGTGAAACACTGTTGATGGAGATGTTTCCAGCAACCAAAAGCAGAGGCCATATAGAATGGACCAATTTTGCGGACTCTAAGGAGATTTCCAGATTTTTTGTGTTCAATTCTGCTCCAAGTATGAAACGTTCTCGGCTTCACAGGGCAGGAAATTGTGCTGGGAGAAGGAACAGCTTCCAGAGCCGAGAGATGGAAGTGGGTCAGCCTTAAAGAAGGTATTAATGGCTGCAGTCATCATGGCCTACTTCAGCCACACAACTCATTTTTACTAAAAACAACTGCAGCCCATTGCCACAGAAACAC